TTTGTGAAAAACTCAAACTAGTCTCCTACTGTTCGTTGACTAGGTTCTGTGGGTAAAGTAGTCATCGTCACACCTGGAATATTTATAATAGCTGATAATCAACAGCTGTGGTTCTTCATTTGTGCAGCTGAGTACTTTTCCACTTTCATGGTTACAGCAGTATTTAGAAACTGTGGTTGCTTTTTTTTTGTTTTCTATAGTTATTTTTAATCATGATTATTTTCTGCTTTTAGAAAAATTTGTAAGTTCACTGATTCTACCTGTGAAATGAAAGAAACGATTTGTCCACTTTCGGATGCGAGATCGGTCAGTTGATCCACGTAATGGACATCTTTCAGCATATAGGAATAATCTATCCATTTCCAAGACTTCAGGTTCAGTATGCCCAATCTGAAGTAAATTGGCTCAGTGTGATAAAGGACCATATCTCAGAACTGCTGAAGTCCCACGCTTTGGATTATATTCCACAACTCCGGGCTGGTTCATTTGTTACTCTCACTTGGGTGCAAGCACCCGAGTGTAAACTTGTCCCGTTTTATGTTTCTTTCTTCCACGCTTAATTAAGCATTGCTTATACGGTACTTGGAATTCTTGAAACAGCTACAAATAATAATTTGATTCCGCAACTGCTGCAACTGAAGACTTTCCTACTCTGCCACAATCGTTCTACCGAAGAGATTCAGCTGTGGTTCTGGTAAGAAATGTATTTGGCTTCATAGGCCTAAACATTTCTTTACATTTCAAAGAAGTCTATTTTTTCCTCTACACCACTCTATTTTCTTTCCCCTCTTTTCATTCCTAGTTTTAAAAAAAGATTAGTTTCCTAGTTGCTCGTCTCTTGAAGTTTGTGAAATGATTTGACCCGCGGGAAAACTCAATTTCTGTTTAGCCACAGTTATGGGACTAGCAGTTAGGAATAATTAATAATGAACAACACAAGCCTAAACTTGCACGGCAGTTCGTGAAAAGCTGACCTTGCATATGGTCGTAGCACAAGACGATCTCTGAGGTAACTGAGAAATGTTGTCATATAAAGGATAACTTTGCCGAGTACATCAACTTGCGCATCCATTGTGAGGAAGAAGAGTCGCATCAATCGCATATGTATCCACTGAAGCATCGAACAAGCTTGCCAACGCCAATGACTTGGTGGTGTTCGATAGCGAGCAACCAGACCGACCTAAAGATGGTTTCATCCCGAAAAAGCAGCGAGGAGATTGGATAAGCCGAGATTTGGATAAAAAGATTATTTATTTGATACTTGAAACTGCTTCTAGTTCACCACTAATTCATCACTGGAATAGTCGACAGCTCATTTTATACTTACAGGAAAGGATAAAATGCGTGTGAATGTTAGCTTTGACAAGAAGTACTTTTGCGCAGGTTTGTTCGCGCAGCAATGGCCCAGAACTTTGTTCAGCTATCGTAACCTTTACAGCGACTGTCTTTCGCTGGGCAAAATGTAAAAACCAAAGTTAAAATTCTCTCGTGTTCATTCTCCATGAAAGACAGAGACTTGCAGAAGTATTCCAAGTGGTAGCAAATGCCAACAGAAACCAATCAGCTAGCAAAAGCTGCTGATGGCTCTATTTTTCAAAAGTTACTTTGAAGCAAGCTGATGACAGGTTTGATCCCTTAGCATGTGCCTCTACCAATTTGCTATGAAAACAAATGAATTTTAGTTGTAAAGGGATTGATCGCCGCACTGGCGAAGTCATAATCTCAACTTTTAGCATGGAAGCGAAACTACATGGCACTGTGTTGCCCGCGAGCAAAAGGGGATTTAATGGTGCATAGTTGTACAGGAGATTCTAGATTCGGTCGCAGAGTGACTCTCAGCCACAATGGGTGATCAGTTGCCTCTTGGCAGCTGCTAGTATCATTGCATATGCAAAAATTTTCTCTTTCATTTCACCGTTGTTTGAACATTACTACGCAGAGATTACCAGTTTGGTGAAATTCGAACTGATCTATACTTTATAGCGACTGAAACAAATTAGTGAACCTGTAGATTGCCATTCTGACAGATGAAACAATCGACCATGACAGGTGTTTGCAGATATTCGTCTCTTGGGAAACCACTGATTTCGTCTGGAGCTGCTCGACGTGAGTACCACGATGAATTGCTGAAAAATAATTTCTAACTTTATAGCCGATGATCCCCTCTCGCCAGATAAGCAGCTTGCAAAGTACTACTGCGACCACGTGAAAAAGTGAAATTTCGCCAATTGCTTTGCCGGCAAACGTTGAACCTCACTTATTAATAAGTGGTGCTCTTGAGAAATCGGACGACCATTTGGATAGCCTCGAAGAGATGGCACATATACATCAAATAGGCTATGAATACTAACTAGAGGAATATTGTTCTTCATCCCAAAAAATGCTCCGGCAAGCAATTTTCTCTGTTTCAGATGCTCTGCCGGAACGGTAACTGTGTAATTTATAAAACAGAAGCTGCATAAACTCTTTTTGATATAGGTGAGCTATAAAGACCAATTCTGAAGTATGCAGCTCAGGAACAGAAGTCCGATACAGCTGTAACTATTTTTGAGTATCACAGTACCGTCAGTAATATAAGTTGTACCTACTGTGCGGACAATCATAAACAAGTGCTGACATAGATAATTGATAAGTTTCCGTAGATAAGTTTCATAGATAAGTTTTCAGTATTAGATCGTGATTCACAGATAAGTTTCCAGAATTCAGAACGTAATTCTTTTTGTCTATTAGTTCACTCCAGAATAGCTTTTTCTCACGAATATTAACATTTAGGTTCGGGCGTAATCACGGTTTCTGAATAATCAACCGAACGAACCACAAATTCAAACAGCTAATCGTTGAAGATTCAATACTGAGCGTAAGCATGTTTATGGTCAGAAAACACAGATCCTGATCGGAGCGCGAGAAAAATGGCGCAACATAGTGACAAATATTGAGTCCCAATGCTAGCTGCAGTTCACTGTTCATCTGTAAAATTCTGCATTTAGTAAACCGAATCATTAATTTTAACTGTTTTTAAGTCAAGCGATACTGCTCTTTACATAATTTTGCCCGCTGATGCAGCTCAAAAACGCTTAAAAACAGACAAAACAAGGTTATAAAAATAAAATCACGGTTTTTGTTCATGTAAGTGTGCATATATAATGCCACGCTCACCCCTCATGTAACGTTTGCCCGTCCCAAACGTTTCTGCTGTGGATGAGGCACCTCACACCAAAACAAACTGTTCTACTCCCACCACGAATGTGTCATGTTGGTAATGTGCTGTGACAAGTCGAACATGCCTCAGCCATGCCAGGTTGGTATGCGCTAGCCAGCGCTAATAGCATCCTAACGAAGGAGCTCCCTTTGACATATTTCTCGTTGTTCTTCCCTCGTGTTGTACTACTGTGGTTGTCCAATGCAACGTCTGTTTCGCCTCGTCCTACTGAGACACAACGCATTTCGACCAGGATTACAACATAAATCCAGCTTTATTTAATAAAATAAATGCAGCCAAGGGGAGTATGGTCCGACATAAAACTGCTGGATAGCAATACCACACTGCTACCACAGCATAATATAGGAAAATAATATCGAACTATTATCATTTCTGAACATATCATTTCTGTGTCACAAGGGGAGAACTCGAGTCAGAAGGTGGATTCGTGTCGTACTGGAACATAATGCAGCTAGGGGTAAAGAAGTGGGAATCAGCCACCATCATTCCTTTTTCAGTGCTGACACTTCTTCATTTTATATATTCCTCGCTATGTACTCTCTGTAAGAAGCTGAGACATTCAGAAGTATTCCGAGAGTAGCAGTCGCCAACAACCACTCGCTGCTGATAGGACTGCCGATTAAAACCTCATTCGTGGACTGCTTACAAACAAACTGTTGGCTTATATAGAGTTATTTTTTTTACCAGAGTTTATAAGAATGAAATGAAAATTTCTTTGTCGCCCCTTGCTTTTTAGCTCGTTTGCATTATTTTACGAGTTTAAAATGAAATTTGTTAAATAGTTGCAGAAATTCTGTAATAACTGACATCATTGACGGATCTGGATAAATCATATCCCATCGTGAAATCAGCAGGATTCTTCGGAATGACCAATACGACGAACTGTCCCCCTTCAACAAAGATACATTCAGCATCTTTTTTCTCTTGGTGATACGTCTACCCCTATCCTTTCAAGTAAGTTTTCGACCAATGCGAGGAAAATTGGGCTTAAATCCTTGCAGTTAAAAAAAACACGTGGATGAAGAGCGCGTATTGCTCCCAGCTCAAGAAGTGTCTGGCGAATCACCGTTTTGTCTATAATATTTGATGAATTAAAATGCCAATTACCAAAACGCTGCCTGCTGATGATAGCGCATATTTTATCACCAACCGCTGCTTTAATAAATGAGGTCTGCGAGGTTCCATAACGATAGGTGCGATGAAATGGCGAAATTGCTGCGTTTCCATCAATCTGTTAATGTTGATTATCAATGGTTCAAGAGTATAAGTGGATCATCGGCTACCGAAAATTTGGGCTGAATTTTTTTTTTCTCCGAGGGTATTTACTTCGAGTAGCTGCGTGTGATAGTTATGCATTTCAGACTTGCAACTAAGCATCTTTTGCAGTGCTTTGACTAGTATTCGGCCTTCTGACTACCTTTATGCTTGTTTCTTCAAAAGTGTTTGTTTCTACAAAATTCAGCAGCAAAATCGAGTGCCTCCACCTTTCATAGAGAACAGATTCAGGAGGGGAAAAGAGAGGAGGAGGAAATTTTTTGATTTTAACTTTTGAGTGAAGAAGAAGTTCATGAAGTCAACTTTGATAATGCGTTGCCGCAATGTTGTCTGTCGATGATTGTAGTCAAGTAGGATAAGCGTCTCCTCATCCAGGGCGTAAACGTGGACAAGATAGTCGCCAAAGTCAAACAGATCTTTCACTGATATCATTCGACGTCCTTCCAATTCCACATCGTATATGTCGATTCGAAACGAAGTGACCCAGTCTTGCGGACTGCGCTCTGACGTTACCACTATCTGTTTGATGAAGTAGCAAAAAGTTTAGTGAAAAAAGTTTTCAAGAAGCAAAACGCCAGGCAGAAATTCATTGCAGATTTCCGCGGATTTTTTTTTTTGGTTCTGTGAAGTAAGATTATTTCAGAAATTCAAGATCAGGGGTTTCTTCAATTTTTAGACCCGAACGACTTTAAAGCCCGAACTTCTCCAAATCTTTTAATTCTACAGAGTCCAAAACCTTCTATTTATTGTTTTTTTTTAATTGAATACATGACATCGAAAATTTTGAAATGTTTTGGAATACTTCTTTGTTCAGAATCATGATTTAGAGAAAATCTATTCTCACTAAAAGTAATGGTTGCATTTCTCACTAGCGGGGTTCAGACCTTCTGCACGACAATAACGCTACTCCTCCCTATGCTATGCCTGACGACAATAGCAAATTAATTTTTTTTTCAATTGCAAGGCTTACGTTTCGACTACCAATTATAAATACATATTTTCCATTCGGCGAAACAGCCATTTTAACAGGATCCAGGACAAACGCATCACGCGTTGAACGTTCTTTGAATACCTGAGTTAGAAAGACTGAGAAATGAAAAAAAAAAAAACACAAACACATTTTCCTATAATTGTTTAAAAGATGTTGCATGCCAATGAGTGGTACTGGAAGGTAACAAGTTAGCTACGAAAATTCTAAAATAGATGGCACCGCATCAAAAATGGTGATCGTCGGAAAAAAACAGTGGGGCAAATTCGTTGTCCCTCTATTTTCATCTCGGAGTCTTTGGTGAAGGCGGTGATTTCCCAGATGCTTTCCGAAATTTTATCGTGATTTTTGAAAAAATGCGCTTTCGGATAGGGAAGACCGAGGGAATAGGGAGAACACTAGACGAATTCTTGGAGCTTCCTTCACGTTCCATTCTTTGAGAAAAGCTGTGTTAGCTTTAAAGCTGAGGTTACGCAATTATCCTTAGAAAAAACTACACAAATCTCTGATCCGAAAGAATGCCTGAGAAAAAGGCTGAAGTGTTAGCCTCAGCGCATTCCGACGCATCTGCTAACCTGAGCGTAATACTTCTCCACTACTTCCTTTTCGGAAGACCACCACATTGACGGAGAGCGCCCGGATGCACACCAGTCAGTAATTAAAAAATATAGAAAATCATTTGCTGATGACAATTTTCAGACTTTTATAACTTTTTGAAAAATATTGAAATTTGAGACATCAGCGTTGGTATTCCAGCTGCTGATGCCACTGAGACGCTCTACATGTTGGCAGCAGTAATGCCTTTCGATCCTCGGTTGCATAATTGCATAATTCGCTTGTTCGATCTATGTGCGGACTTTTTCGGAGATGGCCCGAGCGATGGTTTACTTTACCGCGGGTAAATGTTAAATAAATCTTACAAATCTTTAGGAGTTTTTGAAATTACCTGCTGCTCCTGAGCAACTGGATGGATTTAATTACGACTATTAAACAGGGCATTATCTCTGTAGCTTTTCTAAATATCCAAACGTTTCGTGATTTACCTTTGCTATGTAAGTTAACACAATATGCTTTTTATCGAAAACTAGAAGATAGAAACTCTGAAGCATAATCAGCAAATAAACTGTGATTTTAGCGAATCAAGATTAACGAAGCTTCAGGATGGTACCGATTTTCGGCAGCTTCTGATTTTGCAAAAAATGTTTTCTACACATGTCTTGGCAACTACTTTTACTTCATGCAGCGTGTAAAATTCATGTTAACGTATATCTCTGTAGCTTTTCTCTGCAGCTTTTCTAAATCACTTAAAAGTCAAGCATGTCTCCCTTGCCAATTCTTCATCCGCTATTCTCTTCGTCTAATTTTTAAATATAATTTCATATTTTCGTACATAATCTCCGTCAATATTTGCCAATTTAGCTTGTTTGCTCATGCTGACGTCAAGTCACAAAAAAAAGTAATCATGTGCAAAAAGTAACTAATGTAATTTTTACACTTTTTAGCAAAACTGATGCTTTTTGATAAGTACCACACTGATTTGACAATGTAAAAAGATTTTCTGCAAATTAAGTAATAAATCTGATCAGACAATCACGAAAATGCACAGAAATTGGACATCAGAAGACAAACAAATATGAAAAATTGGAACTATCGCGTCCTAAACCCCTTGCTATTTGAGGGGTTCA